TTTGCGCATGGTGTTCTGCAGAGTCCTGTTCATCCTTTCTGCTACACCCTGCTGTTGATGGGCGTAGGGAAGGGAGATGAGTCTCTTGATTCCCTTCTCCGCCAGATACTGCTTGAACCGCTGTGACGAGTATTCTCCTCCTCCGTCTGATTGAAAACTTTTGAGCTTAGCTCCCGATTCCCGTTCTGCTGCTGGAAGCCATGCCACGAAAGCCTCGAAAGCCATGTCGCGACTTGGTAAGTTTAGGTGCCAGACGTAACGTGTAGCGGCGTCGATGAAGGTGATGGTGTAGTTATACGCGTTTTGTCCGGGTTCGCGGTTGTACAAGATGTCGCTGTACACTTTCTCGAGTGGTGCATATGCAGGTGCGCTTGGGTTGTGATGCGAGACGAAGGGCTGATGCGGTAAGTCAGCTTCAGGGCAGGTGAAGCATGTTCCTCGAGCTCGCTGAAGTTCTCTGCCGTCGATCAGTAAGAGTGAATCCTTGTCAAGTACTCCAGCTCTTATCGTGTTGTTTAATACTGTGTTGCTTGGGTGTCCCATTCTTGCGTGCCAGGTTTCTTCGTTGGCGCGGTGTCCTGGCGAGCGTCGGTACATGTCGGAGTTGGAGTAGAAGCCGGCGATGATGTTCGCGCTTCTGTGAACTTCCCGTGGTGCCGGGTTGAGCTGCTGCGCCGGTGTTGGCGGCGTCTCGTCGATGAAGGGCTGTGCCGTTGAGGGACCGGCGACTGGTGTTGATATTTCTGCTGCTGCTGTTGTCTGTGCTGCTGTCGATGTTGTTTCTGCTGCTGCCAATGTTGTCTCTACTGCTGCCGATGTTGTCTCTGCTGTTGCCGATGTTGTCTCTGCTGCTGCCGACTGCTGAATTGTCGCCAGCGCCCTTGTTCTTTCTGTTTCAGGGATGGTGTGTGAGTACCAGAAGCCGCTCGGGCTGAAGTCTGGATCAAGATCTGGAGGATGTGTCCAGTCAGTGAAGTTGACGATGGCGTCGCTGTCGGCCGTTCCGAGATCGGGGACGAAGTCAAGAACGAAGACGTTGTTCTTGAGAACCGCCTTGCCGATGTAGAGACCTCCTCTCCCGTGGTACAGCTTGAATTCCTGGGTTGTGCTGTCTGCTTCAAGGTGAATGCCTTTCGCCATCAGTTGACTGACGCTGAGTAAGTTGTAGCCGAGGCCTTCTGCAATTAAAACCTTGGACATCTGTAGAATGACGTTCGTTTCTCGTGACTGAAGTTGAACAACTCCTTGTCGTCGTGTGCGCAGGTTCTGATTGTTGGCGACGGTGATGACCACCTCTCGTTGAAGCTGGTATTCTCGTTGTACGAAGCGTCCTGAGGAGCACATGTGTTGTCCGCAGCAACTGTCCAAGAACCACGTGTCCTTCCCGGATGGCTCGTTTTGGGCTATGGCAGCGTATGTCGGGTTCGGCTGAAGTGACTCGCGGCGTGGTGTCGTTTCGTCGAATTGCTCTTCTGGTGAGTAGTACGGTGGCGATTCTGTGATGCAAGAATCGTTCAGTCTTGCCATGCAGCTAACGATGTTTCTTGCTCCTTGCGCAGGTTGTCCCGTTGGAGTTGTTGAAGATTGGAGCTGGGTCGTTGGATTCGCCTGTGTTGATGCGACTTGATTGCTTGAAGGTCGTAGCTGTCGCTGCGGAGTCGTTGACTGTTGTCGATTCGGGCAGTGTGTGCGCGGGTGTCCTGAAGTCTTGCAGATGTGGCAGAAAGGAGGTACTGGCTTCGGTTGTTGCTGTCGATTGTTGTAGTTGTTGTGACGTCGTTGAGTGTGAAACGCGAACTCTGATGTTGTCGTCTTCTTCCTGTGTCGTTCTTCTTGCAGATCCATGTCCTGCTGCTCAGCGTGGATTTCGGCGCAGAGTGCTGCTTCAGAGATTCTGCCGTGGGCTCGGAGGATAGCTTTGGTGGCGCGCCATTGGGGACCGAGACCACCAATGATGACTGTCACGAAGGCGTCTTCAGAGATTGACCCTCCGCATCGAAGAAGCTTGTCGCGCAGTTCGCGACATCGGCTGATATACGCCATCCCCTTTTCTCCCGGTTTCATTTCAACTGTTGTCAACTGCGCCATTAACCTGCTTTGGTTTACGCTGTCTGTTGCTTGATACAGGCTCTTCAGGTGGCTGTACGCGAGCTCAGCGGAGTTGCCGTAACCCCGGTAAGAGCGTATGTTCTGCTGCTGAGTTGGTGTGACGTTCCTCAGCAGAATCGTATACGCCATCATCGATTGATACGTATACTGCTGCTTCTCATACTGTGTGCCGTTTGCTGGATATTGCAGGGACCCGTCGAAGAAGCCGAGTATCTGCGCGCCTTCCATCATTAACTCAAACTCGAATGACCAGGTGAAGAAGTCCTTTCCGTCGAAGGGCCTTGATGTCTGCAGCTTCAAAACGTGCGCGAACTGCGATTGCACTTGTAACGCGTCCAGTGGTTTATCTTGTCCAGGTGAAGGCTGCGGCATGAAGCTGATCGACCCGCGCTCGTACGGGGCGAAGGTAGGTTGCTGCTGTTGGTTTCCGCGCGCATATGACGACCCGTCAAGGCTCATGGGTGTTGCTCCGTTGTTGTTGCTGTTGTGTGATTGTGCAGGTCCCGACTGCTGGTGCTGCTCGTAGAAGGACATGAAGGAGAAGAACTTCTCCATTATACTCGGGTCGAAGTTCGCGGGGTGATTTGCGGGAGTTTCAGTAGATGTTACTCTTGGTCTTGTTGCCGTGCCTTCCTCTGTCTGCAGGCCAGAGGCAGGAGGTGGAGTAGGAGTAGTGCCTGGGGAGCCGTTAGAGGAGCTCCTTTCCTTGCTTGTTGCCATGTCTTGTAATGATTTGAAGGTAGTAGAGTTTCCCCTGTTTGCTCTCATACCATGTTGGGCTGAGATAGCCCCTTAGGATCTTTCAAGGGAGAACTCTGGGTGGATAGTGTTGTAATAGCGGAAGCGTTTAACAAAAGTTTGTGAACCACCTTGCGCTGGTATGTGAGGGCAAAGTAGATTGATTATAGCAAGGAAGTACAAGATTATATAATAATACAAGGAATATGAAAGGATGCAGTTTGTAACTACTTTACTGTTGCTGTTGCGGTTCGATACAGTACGACTCGGGCAACTGCTCTGTAACGAGTCAGTTGTGTGTCCTTAACTGTCGCGCTGTATTTGTCAGGTCAAAGGTCGCTTGACCTATGGCTTTCGCGTAACCTCCAGCAACCTCTTTCAACCTCCGAGGGTTGACTCGCGGGTGCTTCGACATGGCGTGCTTCGCTTCTGGTGTGGTGTTTCGACACGACAGAGGCGTTTACAACTTATTGTTTCCAACACTACAGACACTGCTATCTCAATGCATTATGTATGGTCAATTGTGTTTGCATTACGTATTTCTGCCATGCCCAATTGGCGTTGTTATGCCTTGTGAGAGACCATAACATGACCCACCTGATTAAATATTTACAGACAATAAAAAAGACATGCTATGCTTATCTCTTGTACTTCAGTTGTTTGATGTTGTTCTAATCATATGCTGTAATGTAGGGTAATGTGAAGGGTAATGTAAGCTCATGCATAATATTCATCTTTGTAAATTCAAATTTTCAATAGGATGTATATGCATGCAGTGTACATTTGTAAGATACCTTCTTGATATCCATACGGTATCCTTAGAGAAAATTTATACAATTGCCAGAATATATCTTCGGTAACAAAATACATCGAAAGCCTAGACATTTGATAGTCCAATTAAATAATTGTTTGATAGTCAGAAAGATACTTTGTTTTGTCTTGATTACTTTGTTTAAATACTTCACACAAAAAAAAACATGTATTGGAACTGTGAAGAAACTAGCTGTTAGCATATACCAATATTATTTGGCAGAAGTAAATTCTTATACAGTTCTATTTGTGTTATCCATTCATTTTTTACCTTATATGTTAAAGGAAGTCGGCGTTCATCGAAACTCGTTTTTTAACCTCGAGTTGTTATCGATCGATATGTTAACGTGTGACACCACGATTGGTTCCATTTTGAGCTGGATTGTTTTTGCTAATTCTGACGTGTCTAGTGTTATACCATGCTCTCGCTGCGGCTTTGATACCTGCCCCGTCGGTGTCGAGCCTAAACGCCGAAAAGCCACACGTAGGCTTGGCAACCCAGCACTACGCTGGTTTGGTTCCCACAATGTTGGACGCTCGCGCTTGGGTTCCTGCCAAAAAGTTCCGAGATGACCGTACACTTACATGTACACTACACACATCGAAGTCAAAATGTCGGGAGCGCAAACCGCTCGCGATAGAAGGTGGAGCGTGTGTCTTTCGGGTCGTGTAAAACTTTGAGCGCGATGAAAAAAATTCACGAGACCAAAGCCCGCGCCGCGGAAATTCTCTCCAGTTTCAGACGTAACGAGCCATACTAATGCCCCAGGGTACCCCAAACACGAGCAAGATACATACAGGTCGGCAACTTACCAGCGCTGTGCAACGTTTCGCCACGGTGAACCGTCGTCACGTCACGTCTTTTGGGGCAACACACTATCTGTTGCGATGCGGTGTCGCGCTGCACGCAAGCGGTGGGTACAGCAATCAAAATCACATTCGCATGTGAAATTCGCACGAGGGTGGCATGCATCAAACAAATGCGACGCGATGCGACATCGCGCACGTGCGTAACGGATCCGCTTCCGTTGCACTTTCTTGTATCCTCCCATTTCTATCTGAATTTCGGAACGTAATATATTCCGGAATTTCGTTCAATCAAACTAAATGAAGTTATTGCTAGTGATATTGCTGCTTCTCCCTCAACCCCAAACCTCTCGTCAATCACACTGATTGTTGCATGTGCTTATAAGCTAGCCTTGGATTTAGTGCTGCATTAGCAAAAGCCTGAGAAAATGATGGAACAGATTATACATGAAAGTGAAAGAAATACAGCTACTGTTTTCAAAATCAGAACAGAAATGATATCTGCAACAAAATTTGCTTTGCACGCTGCAGGTCAATCAACAGCCACTCGTATAGCGGCGTCTCCTAGACGGACTTGACAGCGACGATAGTGAGTGGCGGGCTGAAGCAAGCAGTGCTGATGAGAGCGACGGGAAGGCTGCAGCAGCAGCCACACCCTTAGGCGCTGTGTCTCCCACACCCCATGTGGCATGAATAGCAGCAATGGCGTCATTTGAAGCAGCCTGACTCGCATTGCCACGACCCGTGCTGTCCGTGTCTTTCCCTACGCTCTGAACATGCGCTTCACTGGGTTGGGCGCGGCTGGTAGGCTCGGCAGCTGCACTCCCAGCCCGGAACCTTGCGCTCTCTTCTCTTGCCAGCTGACAAAACAGAGCCACTGCTTCCTCGGGAGTATCCTGCACAACCCCATGCCCGATATTCAGCACATGGCGCGAACCTCCCCCCTGCTTAATACACTCCGCTACAGCCTCCCTCAGATACTCCCTCGGCCCCAGCAAGGCCATGGGATCCACATTTCCCTGCAAGATCACCTCTTCTCCGAACAGTCTCCGCGCCTCACTCATATCGCACCCCCAGTCCAGCCCGACAATGTTAGCGGGGCAGTTCTCAGCTATGAGGTGGAGTTTGCCGGTGCTGCCGATGGTTTGCAGGAGCACGGGCGCGTGGGGGCGCGCGGCGTGGATGCGCGAGATGAGGCGGTTGGTGTAGGGCAGGGAGAAGGCGGCGAACTGCGGCGGGGAGAGGTGGTGCGCCCACGAGTCAAACACCTGGATGATCTGCGGGGAGCGACGAGGGAGAGAGGGGGAGGATAGAAGGAGGGGAGAGAGGAAACATGTTAGGGTTGAGACATACAGGAGATCAGGCGATCGGTGAAAGGGAGAGAGAGGACAGCGTGGGGGGAGGAGGGGGAAGGTGGTGTGTAACAAGTCAAACACGTGGGTGAGAATACAAAGAAAAGCAAAGAAGAGGGAAAACACCACGACGCGCGACATAACTTAGAAGGTTAACCCGGAGTCACAGCCGTAATTACCTGCGCGCCACAGTCGATCTGGTGGACGGCGAGGGCGAAAAGGGCATCCTCGAAGAAGGCGAGAATGTCGTGCAGCAGCTCGGGGTCTGCAGAGGGGTAGACGGGAGGCCAAGGGGGGAATGGTATGAGAGGGCGAGATAGGAAGCGATAAAAGCCGGCATGGGAGAGGGTTGGCGCGGAGGGGAAAAGGATGTGCAAACTCGACAGAAGATCCTAAATACACAACAAGGCCACAACACCCACCATGCATCATCATCAGCTTCGTGAGGAACAGGTTCTGGTCCGCCTGCCCCTCCACTGCGTGCGCCACCACGCTCCACGGCGCCCCCACGAACCCCATCACCGCTGCCCCGCCGTCCCTATCCGCGCTACTGTCGCACCCGCTACTGTCCCTGCTGCTGCTGATGCTGCTGGCGGCGGCGGCGGCGGCGGCGGCTGTTTCACGCCGGAGAGCGTTGAGAACGGGACGGAGGTAAGGCAGCTGCGTGTCAGGGTCGTCCAAAGGCCTGCAGAGACGAGGGCGGAACAGAGAGGGAGAGCGAAATAGCACGAGGAGAGTGTGAGTTGCGTTCAATGCGCCGTTACAAAGAAACAAGGTGCAACGGCTCATCTTACTCTACCGACAGCGACCTTACTTGAATGCAACCTACCTTAATCTCATGAGGTCTTCTCGCGATCGAACGGGCGTCGCGACAACAGCGCCTCGTCCCCGCACCATGTCGAACTCGAGCCCTACACCCGGCAGCACGGCCAGCACGTCCGAAAACAGCACCACTGCGTCCGTCGCGAACTTTCGCCACGGCAGCAGCGACAGCTCGGTTACCAACTCTGGGTTATCGAGACGGTCCCTGAATGAATAGCCTTCGGAGAGCCTGTGGAAAACAAGGCACGGAGAGACAAAAAAGAAAAAGAAAAGAGGAGTAAAAAAAAACGATTAGTTAAAAGGAAGAAGTGCAAGGGAGATCATCTAGCTAGCAGCATTTGCGAATGAACAGCTCATCACGCCGCGGAAGCGAAACCAGCCATCAGTGGCCTGAGCGAAGAGAGAGTACGGGCTGCATATCAAAGAAACGCGGATAGTGGGAGCACAGCACAGCGCTCACCTTCGAAAGTCTTCCAAGTAACGTCCTGACTGACGTAACAACCACACTGGCGTACGCTCCGCTTCTGCAACACGGGAGGAAAAAACAAAAGCACACGCAAACAAAAGCCACTCAGAACGATGTTGCAGACAAGTACGAAGGATGGTCATAAGCAACTGGGGCTGACGGAGAATGATGCGGCAATGACACAGATGACGTGAGCAACGGCTACGGGCGAGGTATGCGTACCTTCGCCTCGAGCCACTCGCAGCAGCAGCGGGTCTTTCGCGACGACCTTCCGCTCTGACACATTCCCATGCGATGCAGGTCTCTCTGAGGCGTTCCCGCGTGATGGTGGTCGCTCTAAGGCGCTCCCACGTGATGGAGGTCGAGAAACAGGTCGCAGTGCAGACGACTGAAGCGGCTGGTCTACTTCTGTGGAAATCATGGGCTGCCATTCCGGCGTGGCGATTATAGACGTTTGCCTTGCTGACGTGGACTGAGTCGCAGCGTGGGATTCTCGGATTCTGTCGTTACTGCTCCCGGCGAGGGGCGAGTGGGAGGCCTGAACGGGTACAATGAACCTGGCTGGTCGCGTTCCCTGCTTGCTGGGCGATTCGCATGCTGCAATGTCGCCAGAAACTAGGGACTGGGACCAGCCCAGTGTAGGAGCTAGCGCTAAAGAGGACATGCTGCAAGAGTAGCTGGATTATTCTTTTCTTCGACGAACTGCGAGGGGGAAAACTTCGAGTTGAACACGATTGGTAAAAACTGTAAAGTAATGAACTGGTGGTGACTCGGCTATAAGAGAGGACGACTTAAATTTGCGTTTGTGAAATACGTCCCTGAGTAGCGGAAGGGGTGGACTGATTTCGGGTAGGGAACTAATCGAGGAAGAATGAAACTGTGAAAAGAATGGAAGTACAGAGCGGTCTTATCAGTACACAGGCGCTTGCTTGGCTGAGCCACACTATCGATGATGGCGGCGGGAAACATATGGAGGGAGGAGGAAGAATGGCCGCCCAAGTTGAGGCTGGTAAGCTGGTGGCTATGATGTGGAAGTGGAGGGGAGAGGAGAATGGCGGGAGGCCCAATCGGGAGGTCGTTCGGAGCCAACGCGAAATGGATGAGCCATTTGGAACGGATGATGCTCGCAAGCAGACTTCTAGAGTGTACTGTACCGCGTTTGGGGGGGTGCCCTGTAGTTTGTTCGAGTGCGGCTCTGTGAGATTCTTCATGTTCTAGCGAAGTCAAAATCGGTTATAGAACGTTTCTGTACGGTACGAGTAACACTGAATGTTTGTGACGAAGGGGTGAGGTGACCCGACGGAAAGCATGTATTTCCTCCTCAGGTCACCATATCACGCCTCGGTTCGGAACTGGTGTGAGTGGGGGGGGGGGGGGGGGGGGGGGGGGGGGGGGGGGGGGGGGGAAGAGCGGGAAAAACAGGTTGCGGCGGTACATTATAGACAGCGCGCCGGTCAGGTACTGTCGAAATTTGCAGAGCAGACCAAATGGCTCTAATCACGCGATCTCTCGCGACTCGTCGGCTGGGGTCCGTCATGCTAACGACGCTGGTTTAGGTGATTTCGGCGTCATGCGACGGCAGCGGCTGGGAGCGACACTTCGGCGTCGTGAAAATCACCATTCGGCGACTGGTCGACCAAAGCTTGACATCCTGTATGCGACAGTCACAGCCACAAACTAGGTATATACTTGTGATTGGAGGCTGGGCGACTGAAGTTTGAAATCCATTTTGCGACAGTCACAACGACAGTCTCGTTTATAGATGCTGGTCGCAAGAGTTTGCCTCCTGAATTTACGGCACCGACATAATTAAGCCAGCTTGACCTGACGGAACTCAAAAGTGTCAAGCCACGTGGAAGAATACCACTGACAGCTACTCTCGAGGAGAGCGCAGATGGCGCACAAGTTATCCATGTAAGATTGCTGATGATTGGCTGTCTTCCTGACACCCCCGTCAGTTTGAATCTCAATCACACTCAATCGAAGCGTCCGATACAGTACCTTCCACAAAAGAGGGAGATTGGTGAAATCTCGATATGGAAGAACCCTTCTACGCAGTCTATGTCAGTTGAAGTGTCCAATTTAAATAAAGCGTATATGAATACATACGATGTCCTGACATGCCCCAAACATCATACAATATCCTGAATGGTTTATGCTACGTTATGAGATTATCAACGTAGAGAGAAATAAGGGACGTGACATACAAAGTCTATTCATGATAGTAATTGTACACCTGAAAATCACTATACAAGAGATTGCCCTCCTCATCGTAATGTAACAGGTGGTAACACTGCTCACACAAAAATGACGGATCAACGGCGAGCAACTTATCGTGGTACACCACTCGTGTGCTTGGATTCACATCGCACACGCTGCAGCGGCGCAGGTAGCAGCGTGGCTCATGGGAGAGAAGGGGGTATTCGGCGGCGTTGAGAGGATCGAGAGGGTGTAGCAGGCGAATGTCGGCGATGCGGAAGGCATGCTTGCATGCACCCTAATGGGGGAGTTGGGAAGAACGAGGGAGTCAGGGACAAGGTTGCGAGATAAGAGAAGGAAGGAGAAGAGACACCTGCTGCTGAAGGTTGAAGGCAAGGGAGGAGTGAATATGGAGGAAAGAAGGATTCCGAAAAAAGGAAAACCAACATACACTTACCCCATCAGATCAAACACACACCGGGTACAGGCAACTCGTCAACCCACCTGGTGTATGAATACTTACAGTGCTTCAGGCTGAATTGCAAAATACCTAGTGCATGCACATGGTAACACGGCAACACACCTGGCGCATGTGACCCACCTGGAGCCATCAATCCCTTTGGTGCATGTAACACACACCTGTGCTGCTACACATGGTAACATGGTAACATGGTGACCCACCTGGTGCATGTACACATAGAGCGCCCCTGGTCGCACAGTCAGGTCTCTGAACCGGGTCGTCTCCATTCTTGCAGCTGAGTACTCCGGGGGAGGGGCGTCCCCTAGACTCAGCCGCACCCTCTGCTGCTGATAATGATGCTGATGGGGCTGCTCGTGCTGCTGTTGCTGACCAAAACCTTTCCCATCTTCTTGAAACGTGTAATCAGTTCCCATTGACCCAGTTGTTCCTAAGCCACCCAGTGCCAGGCCGCGCACGGGGGCGGGCAGGGGCAGGCGGGCGAGGGGGGTGTTGCGGCGGCGCTCCCTCTCATCCAGCATCGACCATGCCGCCCGCTTCTCCCTGTTCCACTTGAGGATCACCGCGCTGTACCGCACTGCACCGGACTGCCGCATGTCATCATAGAAAACGTCCTGGGCACGGAAGGGGGAAAAAGAGGAGGAGAGGGGAATTCAAGAGCCAGCAAGCAAAGTTAGAGAGGCTCGTGTACATAATATGGCAGATCAATTCATCGCATCTATTGCACGATATGGTAAAGGATGCATACTCAAGCAGTTTGGTGCGCTGTGCAGGAGAATAGCTCTGTTGCACAGCAGTAAGCTGTGGGGCTTGTGTATTGATCACTTTGCCACATATCACTGCACTGTAAAGGACACTCATCCAAACAGTTTGGTGCGCTGTGCTGACATGCCAAGTGCCTAGGACAATAGCTGCATTCCCATGCTCTGTTGCCAGCTGTGACTGTGAGGAGGAAGAATGATACGTGGCACATCGCAGATGCTATTCGCCTACTCATGACACATGACAGAGAGGAGCAATAACGAGATTCATACGCATTGCAGCAGCAATCTGCGACGTAGAAACAGCATTCCTTATCCTAACCTCCTCCTGCCTGCCATTCCCCTCACCTCGATGCAGAAGCACCCGGACAGCACCGACTTGCCATTGCTCCCTTGCGTTTCTGTCCCCGCACTCCCCTCTTGTTGCAAGTATTCTCCACCTGCAATACTGGCAAGTATTCTCATATACCCCTTCTTCCAGAGACCTCCTGTCTCCCCCCCGTCATCGCCCTCCCCTCACCTCACCTCAATACAGAAGCACCCAGACGGCACAGACTTGCCATGCTCCCTTGTGATGCCGTCCCTGCACTCCCCTCACCCTCACCACCTCGATGCAAAAGCACCCACCTTGACATTACCGCTCTCGCCCTCACCTCAATACAGAAGCACCCAGACGGCACTGACTTGCCGTGCTCCCTTGCGATTCTGTCATGCAGGCAGTAGATGCGGTCCCTTAGGGCCGTGAGCGGCTGGCTGCCCAGCACCAGAAACTCCTGTCCCTGAGATGGCAGAATAGGCAACACAAAGGACAGGGCAGTGAAAATGGGAGTGTGAGTCCTTTCTCCCTTGCGATCCTGTCATGCAGGCAGTAGATGCGGTCCCTTAGGGCTGTCAGGGGCTGGCTACCCAACACGAGGAACTCCTCTTGTCCCTGGAGGAGAGGAAGGGATGGGAGGAAATAATGTTTGTGGTTCTGCCTGTCATGCAAGCAGAACATGCGGTCCCTTAGTGCTGTCAGGGGCTGGCTACCCAGCACTAGGAACTCTTGTCCCTGGAGGAAAGGAAGGGATGGGAGGAAATACATGTTCATGGTTCTGCCTGTCCTGCAGGCAGTGCATGCGGTCCCTTTGTGCTGTGAGCGGCTGGTTGCCCACCACGAGGAACTCTTGCCCCTGGAGGAGAAGGAAGGGGATGGGAGGACATGCGAGTGTGTGCTTCGTCTGTCCTGCACATAATACATGCGGTCCCTCAGTGCTGTGAGGGGTTGGCTGCCCAAGGCAAGAAATTCCTGTCCCTGTATGGCAAACATGCAAGGCAGGGACGGGGGGAAATGGGTCTTCCCTCGCAACCCTGACCTGCAGGCAGCACATGCGGTCCCTTAGGGCTGTAAGCGGCTGCCTGCCCAGCGCTAGCAACTCCTGCGAGTACATGAAATGAAAGGCGATGTGAGACCTGTGAGGCGATGTGAGACCTGTGAGAAGCGCTTCCCAGCAGCAGCAGTGGCAGTAGAAACTCCCGTCCCTGTCATGGCGGCAAACGGCTTTAAAGCCAGGGTCTCATGTAATCTGAGGAGCCATCGACTGCAAAGAACTTGAAGCTAGGTAAGCAAGTTAGTGCTGGCGAAGTTGTCTCTGGTTGGGTTGGAAACTCAGCTTGTGTCACTGCCCCAAGAGCAATTGCACAACACTTTTGGGTACTTGAGACTTTCGATGAGTTGGGGGCATTTTAGGTTTGGCTCTGAACCAAGTTTCCAAGCCTAGATGGTTCGGTTACCCCCAGCGATTTACGTTCGCTTCGCACCCCTTGCTTCACCCCACTTAGAACCTTACACCTCGCCAACCAATCAAAGCCACACTTTCACCATCATTTGCAAAGCACTTGTAGTACGTGAGACCCTGCCTTTAAAGCCAGGGTCTCAAGTAGTACGAGTGCTTTGCAGTTGGTGGTGGGAGGTCGACTGGGATTGGTTGGCGATGTCCAAGGTTAGGAGACAAATCGTGGAGTTTTTTCCGAACCATTTAGCCACGGAAGTTGGTGTGGGCCGAAGCTGAAATGCCAGCAACTTCCCGAAAGCCCCGAAAGTCCCAAGTAAAAATTCGAATGTTTTGCAATTCTTGTGGGGGCAAAAACAGGGGTGCGTCGCACACTACTTCCCAGGCCAACCAGTCAGCTCGCCTGCTACAAACAGAGTAACGGAGCTTCAACTGCTTTGCAGTTGACGCCAGAATCTCTTACTTGAGACCCTGGCTTTAAGCGGCTCATCCCTCTACTAGGCATTTATGTACTCATTTAAAGCTGCTGCTTCTCCTGCTGTGGCACCTCCACTCGCAACACCACCTTCTGCTGTGGCTGCTGCTGTGGCAAACACCAATTCATACCTCACTCATCAGGAAACATGCCTCGGGCTGAGCGGTCTGTTCCCTCTTTAAGACGGTTCGGTACTCACTTTAAGCTGCCGCTTCTCCTGCTGAAGAACCTCCACTCGCAGCACCACCTCCTGCTGTGCCTGCAGCGCTCTGGAAGGCCCCGGAGTGAAGGCAAAGGCGCCCTGAAAGGGACAGCCAACAAGGGTGGGAGAGGAAGGGGAGCGTGGACGCAAAGAGGGCATAAGGGCAGGTAATCAGCTCCTTGTGGGACCCCCGCCCGCAGCACCACCTCTTGCTGTGGCTGCAGCTCTCTGGAAGCACTTGAAGGGGAGTAGATGGTATGCAGAGGGCTAGAGGGGAGCATAAGGAGAAGAGGTCATTATGGGAGGCAACTGCTTGTAGCAGGGGGGCTGGGATAGAGACACGCGCCACCGGTATCTTGGCAAACATGAGATTTGGAAGGTTGGTTTGAGCAAGAGGTGGTTATTCACTTCCGAGTTGACTCAAAAGCAAGGGAGCACATGACCAAAGGGAGCGCACCGGTATTTTAGCAAAGATGAGACTGGGAAGGTTGGCGCGTGCAAGAGCCTCTAACAGTGACCTTTGAGTCGACTCAAAAGCAAGTTGGCACATGAGCAAAGGGAACGCACCGGTATCTTGGCAAAGATGAGATTGGGAAGGTTGGCGCGTGCAAGAGCCTCTAACGGCCGCTTCGCCCCTCCCCTCCCTCCGCCTCGCCCTCTCCCCCTGCCCCCCCCTCTCCCCCCTCTTCCCCCTCCCCCCCCTCTGGTTCCCCGTATACCTCTCCCCTCCACTCCCTGGCCTCTGCCTCCTCCTCTCCCCCCTCTCCTCCTTCCTCCATCCCTTGTCTCCTCGCTATCCTCCCAATCCTCATCCTCCTTTTCCTCCTCCTGCTCCTCCTCCTCTTCACCCTCCCAGCTGCCGCCACTCCCTCGGCCGCCGCTGCCTCTTCCCCCTTCATCCTCCTCACCCTCCTGCAAGTCGCTGCGCACACCACAAGCGACAGGAGAGAGGGCTTTTGAAAATTCACTTTTGAGATTTCCGTAGAGTGGCCATCGCTGCCCCCTCCTTCCCCCTTCATCTTCCTCACCCTCCTGCAAGTTGCTGCTAACACCACAAGCCAGAAGAGAGAAGCACGCCGGATTACCAGCGTGCCAGGTAAACACACAAGTTAGGGAGGGTAGGAAGATAACAACAGGAGGAGGCAACAGGAGGAGGCAAGAAGGAGGGAGGGCCCTCGTTTTCACCATCATTGTAGATAAGCGCTACCCCTTCCATCTGTGTTTTGAGTTGACTCGGAAGACACGGAGTTGCCCCTTGTGTCGCCTCGTTTCTCCCCTCCCAAAAGTCCATATATCAACACGAAGAGAGATACACCAGAAACAACGGGCAGGGTTCAGTGTGCTGGTGGAAACAACGGTCTACACACCAGTCGAGGGGCTGAAGGCGGATCTCGCCCTTTGCCACCCGGACACATCAGCGGTCTGGTTATGCGATATCACCGTCACCGACCCTATCTCCAGCCAGGACCCGCACGCCAGGAGAGCGCCTGGCTGGGCAGCAGCCGTCGCAGCCCGGGGCAAAGAACACAAGTACCGCAACCGAGCGCCATGGGTCGGCTTCCTGGCGATGGCTGTAGAGACGTACGGGCACTGCTCTCCAGGCGTGCTTGAGTTTCTCCACCTGTGCGCAAACCTTGCTGCCAAGCGCCTTCATAACGCTGAGCCCGCCTCGAGGGAGGCGGCGAAGATTTATCATTCTTACCGGCAGCGTTGGTCCATCACCCTCCAACGTGCGCAAGCATCCGCACTAGCTGCCAAGACACTGACGGCGTTTGAGGCCGGGTCAACCAACACCGCCATCGAGGGGGAGCCCCTTAGCACGGGAGATCTCATGCACGTGCTCGAGCCTGAGCTCGAGATGCCCTAGATTGCCCTGCCCTGTTTGTATGGCTGTGCTCTTAATATGCTGTACTTACCACGCTTATTTAATGAAGGACCATTCGATACACCAGAAAGGGGGTAAAAGAACACAAGAACCAAAAGAAACACGAGAGCAACTTCACAGAAATCGTTGACAGATGTTTAGATGGAGGTTTAACTGTACCGCAGGGAATGCAGCGGGCAGAGGCCATGCAGTGCTTGTGCGTTCTCATGATGGGTAATGATCAGTTGGGCCAAAGAGTGAGTAACCTTGCGTGCTCTCACAAGTTGGGGCGGTAACCCTGTTGGGGAGTGGTAACCCTATTGTCGAGTGATAACCCTATTGGGGAGTGGTAACCGTACCGCAGGGAGTGCAGCGGGGCAGACGCCATGCACTGCCTGCGAGTCTCTGCGATGCGCACGAGCCAGTCCACTGTCACGCGAGAGCGCAGCAGCCGAGGGTCCTGCAAGGGAGGGCAGAGAGGGAGGGGATGGAGAGAGTGGGAAGAAAGAGAGGGAATGCTGAGGAGGCAATTCACAGGAGGTGCGGGTGGAGTGCAGGAGACAGGGTCGTTAGCTTCACCTTGTACTAGCTTGATTCTAACTTGACTTTTTGCGATGCTACACCCCTTTACCGCTTCGCCTATCCTCTTCACAGCATCCCAACCCAACCCCGTGTTCTTCTCATTCCGCTGATCTAATCCTCTCTTCCGTTTCGTTCTCCCACTTAAAGCCAGGGTCTCATGTAAGCAAAGGAGCCATCAACTGCAAAACAGTTGATGGCTAGATTACCTAGTTAGTGCAGGCGAAGTTCTTTCTGGTTGGGTTGAAAACTGAGCTTGCGACCACCCTGTCATTGCCCCAGCAGCTTTTGCAAAACACTTTTGCGAACATGAGACTTTTCGATGAGTTGGGGAAGGTTTAGGTTTGGCTCCGAACCTAGTTTCCAAGCCTAAAAGGTTCGGGTAAAACCAGCGATTTGTGTTCGCTTCGCACCCCTTGCTTCACCCCACTTCAAACCTTACACCTCCCAAACCAATCAGAGCCAAACTTTCACCATCAACTGCAAAACACTTCAACTATGTGAGACCCTGGTTTTAAACACACGTCTACCTATCCACTGGCCATCTTTCTTCCTTCCAAACAGGTTCCTCTCGTCCCCTCACATGCCCTTCTGACGACATCTCACCTTTTCCACTTCTTCCTCCCCCTTCAGCACCCGTCCACCCATCTTCCTCCCACCGTTCCCCATCCCCCCATCCACTGCCGCCCCTCCTCCCTCCCCCCACATCCCCCCACGTCCCCTCGCAGTGCCCCCATCCCAGAAACTAACTCTTCTCTGTCTCTTCCTCCCGCCCCTCACTCCCTCTCGCCCCTCCTCTCCCTCCTCCCCGGCCCTGCCCCTGCCTGCACCTCCCCACCACCCCCAAGCCTGTCCCCAGCCAGGGGGAAGCGTTATCTGCCCCCAACCAGCGGGAGGTGGTATTTGCCCTGATCCAGGGGGAGGTGGTATCTGCCCCAAGCCAAGAGCAGGTGGTATCCCCCCCGAGCCAGGAAGAGGCATTATCTGTCGCTGCATAAGCTTCTGAAAATCAGCTGGTGTCATGTTGGGAGGAGGAGGGTGGGATGTGGGGTTGCGTGGAGGGTGGCCGGATGGGAAGGCAGGGTGGTAGGGCAGCATAGCAGGGTGCCAGGGGAATGGGGGCAGGAGAGGTGGGAGAGTGGGGCGCGGAGGGTGGGAGGGACGGTGGGGGTGTGGAGGGGAGGGAGAGAGAGAAGGCGGGGGAGGGAGAGTAGCAGGTTGGAGGTGGGGGGAGGAGGGAGCATGAACTGGGAGGGAGGGCTGAAAGGGCACGGGGACGAGAGAGAGTGAGGGGGGAGATGAGTCATTATCCGCACCCTCGGCTGCTGCCTCTTCCTGATTCCACTCAATCAACCGCGTTCCACCCATCCCAACCCCCTCACCACCCACCCCTCCCTCCTCCCAGCTCTCCTCCTCCTCCCATCCCAACGTCCCTCCCCCTCCCCCTCCCCCTCCCTCACACGTGCCCTCCGAAAGGCCAGCGCCCGGGGAGAGGCAAGGCAGGGAGAGTGGAGAGGAGGGGAGGGGAGGCGGGGAAGGAAGAGGCGACATGAAGGGTGAGACGAGGGCATCTGCTGTGCTTAATACGGGAGCATCCATCCCACCCTCTGCTCGCTCCCATCTGCTAGGAGCATCCACCATGCCTTGTGAAGCCACCACCACCATGTGCTCGCCCTGATATGCTGCGTCCGAAACAGACACAGCTCCATCATGCGTCGCAGGTGTGAGAGTGAGAGCCACACTCTCTGCTGCATCCCCCCCTTCAGCGACCCTCACACATTGGGCAACTTCCGGTGTCTCTGCTTCCGCACGCTGCAGAGCACGCATGGGCTTCGCATGTGTAGAGGCAGTGCCTGCATGAGCGAGAGCAACAGCATCACTGGTTGTTGCTTCAGCGTCAATCGTTCGGAGAACGAGGGCTTGGATGTCAGCATCCACGTCAGCTGTGGCATCCACGTCAGCTGTAGCATCCACGTCAGCTGTGACATCCACGTCAGCTGTAGCATCCATGTCAGCTGTAGCATCCATGTCAGCTGTAGCATCATCAACAGCAGCTGTACCACCAGCAGCATCAGCTGTAGTACCAGCAGCAGCAGCGGCGGCAGATTCATCTGTAGCAGCTGTAGCAGCTGTGGCAGCACTTTCAGACATTGCAGCAGCACTCGTGGTAGTGGCAGCAGCATCAGGTGAAGCCGCAACAACCACCGCATCAGGTTTGGCTGTAGCAGCAGCAGCAGCAGCAGAAGCAGCAGCTGTGGCGGCAGAAGCGGCAGCAGCGTTACTAGCAGCGTGAGCTGTAGCAACATCAGCAGCAGCTGTAGCAGCAGCAGCAGTATTAGCGGTGCCAGCTGCTGCAGCAGCAGCACCAGTGGTGGTGGGGACAGTAGCAGCAGCAGCAGCAGTGGCAGGAGTGGGAGCAGCAACAGGAGGACGAGGAAGGGGTGGTGCAGGAAAGGGAATGGAGGCACTATAGGGCGCCAACGGAGGAAAGGGCATGGGGAAGGGGAATGGGGGAAAGGGATGGGCCGAGGGTGAAGGTACTGCAGGAGGAGGGGGTTGAGCTGGAGAATGAAGAGGAGGGTGAGGGGGGCGAGAAGGCGGGTTAGAGGTGGCATGAGAGGGAGGAGTAGGAGGGGGGGGCGGCCACAGGTGGGGATACAGCAGCCAAGGAGGGGGCGGGTGTGGCATAGCATTGAACGGTGGCATGGGTGGTACGATGGGTGGTGCACTGGAGGGTGCATGGGGTGGCAGGGAGTAAGCACCGCGCCCTTGCATTCGGCTTGCCATATGCTGCTGCTGCTGGGTGAATTGGGCAGAGGCGTGGAAGAGGGAGGGGAAAGGAATGCCAAACGCTCTTGCTGCCATTTCGTACAGCTCCAGAGCCCTCCTCTCATTCTCCTTCTCCCTCTCCTTCTCCCTCTCCTTCTCCCTCTCCCCATTCTCCTTCTCCCTCTCCTTCTCATTCTCCCCGTTCTCCTTCTCACTCTCCCCATTCTGCTTCTCCCTCTCCTTCCCAGCCCCCACCGCGGCTTCCTTTCCTCTCTCTTGCTGCTCCCTGTCTGCTTCCCTAATCTCCTCCCCCTCCTCCCTCTCCCCAACTCCATCTCCCCTCTCCCCATCCACATCCCTCCCACTCTCCTCCTTCTCTCCTCCTACAGCCCCTCCCTCCCTTCCCACCTCCGGAACATCCTCTCCTTCTCCCCCTTCCACCGCCCCTTCATCCCTTCCCAACCCTCCTTCAACCCTCTCCTCCTCTGCACCTCCAGCACCCTCTCGCTGACACCCTCTCTCCTCCACCATCCCCTCTCCCGTCCTTCCCTCCTCTACCTCCATCCCTTCCACCACCATGCCCCCCTCCATTCCCCCCTCCATCCCCCCCTCCATCCCTCCCTCCTCGCCCTCTCCCTGGTGCTCCAACTCGCCCCTCTGTGTGCGTGCCCTGCCAGTGCCACTCTCCTTCCCTTTGCTGTGCGCTGGTGCCTCTGTAGCCTTCCCAGTTGACTGTTTCGACTGTCCAGCCTGCGTTGACTTTCCAGGCTCCGCTGGCTTTCCTGCTGCCTGCGTTGACTGCGTTGACTTTGCTCTTGACTCTGTTGACTGTGTTGACTCGGTTGACTGCTTGGGCGGCCAGAGGTAAGGCACAGTGGCGGCCACGAGCTCTTCCATGGAAGGAATGATGAGGTCGTGCACACTGGTGGGGGGAGGGATAGAGGGGGGAGAGAGACAGGCACAACTTGAGGCACTTTGTTGCACGGCCAGAGGTAAGGCACAGT